CCTTATCTCCTGGCACCATTGGCAGAGCTTTGATGTCTCCTCACCCCACCAGACCTGCTCCTGGGGTTCCCAGCTCTGATGACTCAGCAAAAAGCAGGTGAATCCCATCAGTTTGTGCCAAGCTCTTAGCTCAAACATAGTCCCTCCTTCTCTACTCTCTCTTATATTTGAGGAGTACCCAGAAAGCCCAGCAAACTGACATTAAGCTAGTTACTGACCTGACTCATAGTTCTCACCTGCTAGGAAACTCCTACTCGTCCCTCAAAACCATGCCCAGGCTCTGCCTCCTCTTACAGAGAGCCTTTCAGTCCACTCTCTACTGAGTAGGCCTCAGGCTCTCTAAGAACAAGGCTGATGTGTGCTGGCTTCACCTTTGTTCTCCCTGCACCTAGCATGGGCCTAGCACACAGGAGGTATGAATAAATTTCCTATGAACCCTTAAAACGAAACCTTTCTAGTTTGATGAGCTTAGTGTGCTTAGCGTGTCTTTCAACAAAAGACATTGTAGGACAAAGGCCTTTCTGGAAAATAATGACACTGACAACTGGGTTCATAATCACCTTTTACAAAAGAGGCCCGTACTCAAATCTATAGAAAAACAAGTTTACAGATTAAATGAGATGGTAAATCAATCAAGCCCAATCCAGGGCATGCCACACTTGTCTGGCCTCATTGAGCACTAAGCACCTTTTAGTTCTGTTCCCTAAGAACACTGTGATCCCCTAAGAATCCAACTGGACATTCTATCACTCTATCACTCTACCCAAGGAAGGAATGCAATGAGGAAAGGCAGCAGCCTAGAGACACGTGTCGGGGATCAGGCGAGGACATCTGACAAGCTATGCTACTCTACTGCACACCTTAAGCCCTGTGGCCAGGGCAGGTAACCAAACATCCCAGGGGCTCGGGCTTACCCACAAAACTGATGCATTATCATATGCTCCAGACACTTTCCAGAGATGCTATGAGGATCAACTAGACAATTAAAAAAGCTATACAACCAGCTAACACCTGGGTCATGGACCAAGCCCAGGTCAGAAACACACCTCCAACATTGACAGGAAACAGGAAACAAGCTGATAATTGTCTGTTCTGTAACTACCCTTGGTCTCCTCGAAACCACACCTGGCCCATACCAACAACTGGCGTTACACCCTAGCCACAAGAAGGCTTTCAGGGGTTCCATAAAGAGGCCATGATGGGCCCTGGCCGGTTTGGCTCAGCGGTTAGAGCGTCGGCCTGCGGTCCAGAGAGACCCGGGTTCAGTTCCTGCTAAGGGCATGTACCGCAGTTGCAGTTTGTCCCTGGTCCCAGTTGGGGTCGTGTGAGTGGCAACCAGCCGATGTGTCTCTCTCACATCAATGTTTCTCTCTCTCTCTCTTCCCTCCACCACTCCCTTCCACTCTATCTGAAGATAAATGCAAAAATGTCCTCAGGTAAGGATTAAAAAAAAAACTAAGGTTTCCAGGTCAGCTCTATAGTTACCACATGTAAAAATGCTGGCGCCCTGGCCAGTTTGGCTCAGCGGTTAGAGCGTCGGCCTGCGGTCTGGAGAGACCCGGGTTCGGTTCCCGCTAAGGGCACGTACTTCAGTTGCAGTTTGTCCCCGGCCCTGGTTGGTCGTGCGGGTGGCAGCCACTCGATGTGTCCCTTCACGTCGATGTTTCTCTCTCTCTCTCCCACTCTATCTGTACAAAAAATGGAAAAATATCCTCGGGTGAGGATAAAAAAATAAAAATAAAAAATAAAAATAAAAATGCTGGCAACAGAAGCTGGGAGAAGATGCCTAACTTTCTTTAGTTTTGCTGCAACACCTAAGCAAGGCAATCTAACAAGACACAGGGCCTTCCCAGCAAGATCCACTTTCAACTGAAATGTTAAAAGTCAGATGAAGGAATCTAGGTCTCTATGTTTCAACATTTCCTTTCTGAAAAATTGTGCTCTTCTCTCACTAACTCAGCTGTTTTCTATGATAAAGATTACAGAGAAAACAATCCATTTTCCTCCCTACAAGTTTAAGAAATGCCCCTTGGTTTCTCTGGCAATATAAGACTCTAGCACCAACATTTTTCAGTCTATACTGTAACTGCTTTTGTAGTATTTGTTTTAAGAAGCCATTCTCATTCACATTAGTTTAAGTCCATTAAATACATGTGCATTTATCCTAGGGTGGAAAAGGAAAATAGAAGTTTTAAAGCCCTCCAATAATATGTTTCATACCTGTAAATTCACTAGATGGGTATAAAAGTAAAAAATCCAATAGCTTGACATGATCAGAATTCAGAATCACAGAATTCTGGGGTTAAAAGCAGCTTAGATACTGGCCTAGTTCCCCAAAGTGCAGATGAGGAAAGCTCCACATTCTACCCACAATCACACAACCCCCTCAAGGCAGGGATGTTACAGGGTCACTGAGGAAGCAGGCAAAGCTGTGACTCTGGCAGTCCTGCCCCCAATATAACCCTTTGGCACAACAAGGGGACAGTTCCTAGGAAAGAGAAAGTATTCTGAATATTCAAAAACTCACACTCAGGATTGGCACAAAGGTCACTGGGGGGATTGGCAAACTTCCACACCAGACCTAAGTAAGTCTGATAAAGAGCCTTTCTAAGACAATTGCAATCATGTTATTTCATAACTTAGACACTTGCTTTGTCACAATCACTGGAAAAAAGGGAGAATGGGAGAAGCAGCAAAAGAAAAATGAAAAATCTTCCCTCTGATTCCTGTGTCTGCTTAGATCACCATAAAATAGGGAACCTCCCTAATGCTGACTTTAATGAGGGCCTTCCTAAAGCTGGTTCAACTGGTGTTCAAGTCCCTGGACAGAAAAACAAGTTTATGAGCAGCATAAAGTCACCTGATTCTGACCATGCGCATGCTGTTTACTCTGAGATGACAGGCCAGTAGCTGCCACAGCTTTGATGAATACTGTGGAGATTCTAGTATCCCTTTGAAGGCTACGTGGGCCTCGATATGACTAAATGCCATAAAAAGGAACCTTGAATGCAGCAAGAGTATGAAAGAAGGGAAGTTACAAACACCATACTTCAGTGGGGGGCAACCCCATTCTGAACACTAAATTGTTAACTTAAACTTGTTCATTGTTTCCCTAACCTATGAGATATCTCATTACAACATCACTAAAGAGAAGTCCCCTCCTCTGCCTGAAATGGCACCTACTTGTCCTCAAGAGCTAATGCTTAGCCCAGGCCATGTCCACAATGAGGTAACAGAGGCAGCCCACTTATTCAACCCTCTGCAGCCCAGACCCATGTGGCTCACAACATTCACACGTGTCAGCTAGGAGACCCTGAACTCTGACCACAGGGAATAGCTTGGTGTTGGGGAAAAGAAGGTGGTAAGGAGGGGCTTACCCATCTCTTCCTTTGCTGACAATCTTCACCTCAAAGTAATAAATGCCACAGGCAGCAGGTATGGGGTGGGTGGCACGCACTGAGGCTGCATCTTTGTGATTTTTGCCATGACCTAATTAGAGAGGGCAAGGAACAAATTTCAGCACAAGGAAATGCAAATGAGGACCTCATTCTTCTCTGATCCATGGCAACTTCACTACTCCATAGCCACAGGAAGCTCTTACATAGTCTAAGGAATAATTAGACACCTGAACAAACACATAAACCTCACATTTTTGGTCCACCTCCTCCTGAGAACAGCAATCCTGCCTGAGATTCTATTTTCCATACAAACCAAAGGAGGGTAAAGGCAATGTAGATGCATGAAAGATTCCCCACTGCTGCTGGCAGTCTAGTCTCTCTTGGGAGACCATGGAAGGAGTAGGCAGGACTGGAAGAAACCTCCCCCAACTTTAGCACAGAACCCCAGGACTAGTCTGTGAGTCTGGCCGGTGAGCAAGCCCAAGGTCCTCTGGTTACTGGAGATGTGACCATCTCTTTCTTCAGACATTGCTGAAACTAAGCAATGTCTGAAGAAAGGCCCAAATGGAGTTGGAGCTATCTCAGAACAAGCAGGAAGGCCCTCAGGTGGAAAGTCCAACCCAGCACGGAGTCTGCTCACACCTGTTGCAGTTCTCTTGACATCGGGTGTCTCAGGGCACAGCAAAGTAGGCACTCGACCCTCGGCCTGGTCAGCCCCACTATCCTGAACGCCCGCTGGGGCTAAGGCCTAATTGGGAGTACAGAGCCAGGGAAAGGACATGATGGGGTAGGGGGTAGGCAGCATAGCCGCCCCACAGACACTCTGGTCTCCCCCCCCCCCCCCGCGGTCAAACAGGCTAATACCTTTGTAGTGGACGCGGAGGTTGCCCTGGGAGAGGCCGATGTAGTTGTACTTGTCCTTGGGGCTCCAGGAGCGCGGCAGCGGCGTCTCGTGCTGGTTGACCGCGGGGTACAGGCGCTGTAGGCGCCGGCTCAGCTCCTGCTCCCCAGGGGAGGGCAGCCCGCCCCCAGCGCCCCCGCCGGAGGGGTCTCCAGCCTGTGGGCTCCCTGCTCCCGGGTCCGCCGTCGCCGCCGCCATCTTGGAGGGAGCTGCTATTGTGTCACTGGAGGCGGGGAAGAGCGGGACCAGATCCGCCCCGCTCAGCCAATGACTCGCAAGTCTACCGGGGCCGCAGGGAAACCGAGTTCGAGTTTGGCACCTCTCTTTGGACACGGACGTGTCTTGCCACATTTCGAACTCTATATCCCACGATGCAGAGCTCTACAGAGGCGGACCAACTCGGGCAGACAAGGAACTTTGGGAGATGTATTACAAATCTGCTTAGCCATAAAACTGTTCGTTCTAGACTTTGGGACAATGAAAACTACAATTCCCACTTGCAGTGTGGCTCCGGCCTCTCAGTTCAGCTCCCTCCCCCATGGCCTCTGTATACCCCCTGCCTCGGTTCTGGTAGCTAGGGTCAAATCCGCTGTAGTGATCGATTCTGAGGGAATCCCGCTCCCGGGTCCGAATCCACTTTTGCTACTTGGTTTTCCTTCCAGCCTTGGGCACGAACGCGGGGGCGTGGCACAAACCTGACAACGCCCGCGCCGCGCTAACGCAGGGGCCTGGTCGCCATGGCGACGGGTTGTACACTACCACTTCTTCCAAGGCCGCGGATGCTGGCCGGCCGGTTGTCCGAGGGTCATGGCCTCCCCTAAGCCACCGAGCTCTAGCTTCGCGATCATGTCGAGGTAAGCACTGGCCGGGCTGGGGGCGGAGAGGAGGGCTTGAGTACAGAAAAAGAAATGGCACCTGATCTGGACCTCGGTACCTCCCGCCTCTGTCCATTGTTCTGGGGCTCCAGCCCTACAGGATCAGTGGTAAAGAAACAGAAACAGAAACCCAATGACTTGTCAGCCCAGTGAGGACATTACTTGCTAGCAAAAGAACAGGCTCCCTTCATCATTAGTAACAGCAAGCTTATTTGTATTGAGTGTATATTATGTAACAAGTGCTTTATATACCACATTTAACCCACACAACAACTCTATTAGGTAGTAATATCACTATTTTACAAATGAAGAAACAGAAGCCTGGAGAGATCATGTGTTTTACACATGTTTGTAAGTGGTGGAGCTAGATTTTTTTTTTTTTTTGGTACATACCCCTAGCGGGAACCGAACCCTGGACTCTGGTCCACAGGCGGACGCTCCAACCGCTGAGCCAAACAGGCTGGGGCTGGAGCTAGAATTTGAATCCAGTCATGTGAGACCCAACCTGAGCTCTTGGATAAACTGCCTCTTCACCCACTGGCTAATGACAAAGATGTTTGTCAAATTGCTGGCTGACTCTAAGCCGACCAGGCACATTCCACAGCCTCAGGGTAGCTCCTGCCTGTATTCAGAGATGTAGCCTCTGAACACTGAAAAATATAACAAGCTGTTAGCCAAGAAAGCCACAAAGTATACGGATTAAAACAAAAATTTTGGCTAAATACATTTCTAACTTTAGGACCTCAAAGAAGGTCCTTAAAGTTCCAGGCCTCTACTTATATCTCAAACATGGGGATGATGCAGCTCACATCACAAACATTGTTGGGGACACTTAGGCAGAGTATGTGATGGTCTCATCATAGCTTTTGCACATAACAGACATTCGGTAAGTGTTGAATGAATGTAGTTTCTCCCTTCTACTCATTACTAAAGCAAAAAACCTGATCTCACCTGGCCAGTGTGGCTCAATGGTTGAGCGTCGACCCATGCACCCAGAGGTGGCCAGTTCGATTCCTGGTCAGTGCACATGCCCAGGTTGTGGGCCCAGTCCCCAGTCGGGGGGACATGCAGGAGGCAGCCAATCAATATTCTCTCTCATCGATGTTTCTATCTCTCTCTCCCTCTCCCTTCCTCTCTCTCTAAAATCAATTTTTTAAAAAAATTTAAAAAGCCCTGGCCAGTTTGGCTCAGCGGTTGAGCGTTGTTGGCCTGCGGACCACAGAGACCCAGATTCAGTTCCCGCTAAGGGCATGTACCTCGGTTGCAGTTTGTCCCCGGCCCTGGTTGGGTCGTGTGGGTGGCAGCCACTTGATGTGTCCCTTTCAGGTCGATGTTTCTCTCTCTCTCTTCCTCTCTCTCCCTCCCACTCTATCTGAACAAAGAATGGAAAAATGTCCTTGGGTGAGGATTAAAAAATAAAAAATAAATTAAAAAACCAAAAACCTGATCTCACCTAAACTCTAATCCTTCAAGGTCTGCTGCCTAGACAGAGAAAACCTACAAAAGTCAGGAAATTAAATGCCAATTTGATTATTTGATCCAGAGCTAAAATAATCTACAAGAACTAGACAGTAGGCTTCAGTATTGTTACCCAGCCAAGAATGATTTAGGAAACTGCAGCCATGTTTGAAAAGGACATGAAATAGCCTTGGCCGGTTTGGCTCAGCGGTTGGAGCGTTGGCCTGCGGACCAGAGAGTGTTGGGTTCGGTTCCCGCTAGGGGCACATACCAAAAAAAAAAAAAAGAGTGCCCATTCATTTTAAGAAGGAAGCATAATGTAATTGCTGAGGCTGAATATGGTGGCAGTACAAAACATCATTCCTTCCTGTCCATGTTCTTTATTCACCAATATTTAATGATGTACATTGAGTCAGGTTCACTGTTTGCCTTAGAGGCACAGTGTAGGGTGTCCTCTTCCAACCCCTGTTAGAGCAGTTGGGAGCTGAAGGATAGGCCAGACCTTAGCATTATATATATGTCAGCAGGATGCTCTAAAAGGGACCTTCAAATTGTGCATTTCCCTGGGGCAGGTTTCTTCTCCCCATTGGCTTTCTCCTTTCATTCTCACATCCTGGGCACAGTGGCTTAGAGGATGGAACTCAGTGCTTGAGTTCACTCAATACCAGAACATAACTATCCCCTGACAAACCCACTGCCTACCATTAGTTAAATAACTGTTTTCTCTACCTTTATTTTTTTTAATATATTTTTTTATTGAGTTTTTATAGACAGAGGAAGGGAGAGAGTTATGTTAGAGAAACATCGATCAGCTGCCTCCTGCACACCCCCACTGAGGATCGAACCCAAAACCTGGGCATATGCTTTGACCAGGAATCAAATTGGGACCTCTCAGTCCTTGGGACAAGGCTCAATCCACTGAGCCACACCAGCCAGGCTGTTTTCTCTACCTTTAAAGTAGAATATAGATGTCTGTTTCCTGTTCTGCCTAAGTATTGGTGTAAAATTACAATACTAAAGGAGCTTGGGATGCTGAACATACAATATACAGATGATGTATTATAGAATTGTACCCCTGAACCTATATAATTTTACTAACTAATGTCACCCCAATAAAGTCAATAAAAATAAAATACTAAAGGATTATCTTGAGCTTTTTGGATAAGTGTATAGTCTCTACCAGGTGGGGTTTTTTTTTTCTTTTTTCTTTATTGATTTTTTTAGAGAGAGAAGAAGGGAGGGAGAGAGAGAAACATCAATGAGAGAGAACATTGATTGGCCGCCTCCTGCATGCTCCCCACTGGGGATTTGGCCTACAACTTGGGCATGTGACCTGACCAGGAATCGAACTGGCAATCTCTTGGTGCATGGGTCGACGCTCAACCACTGAGCCATACCGGCCGGGCTATACCAGGTGTTTTTCAAATTATTATTATTGCCCTGGCTGATTTTGCTCAGCGGTTAGAGCATCGGCCTGCGGTCCAGAGAGACACGTGTTTGGTTCCCACTAAGGGCACATACCTCGATTGCAGTTTGTCCCTTGCCCTGGTTGGTCGTGCGGGTGGCAACCACTCAATGTGTCCCTTTCACGTCAATGTTTCTTTCTCTCTCTCTTTCTTCCTCTCTCTCCCTCTCACTCTATCTGAACAAAAAGTGGAAGAATGTCCTCAGATGAGGATAAAAATAAATAAAAAAAAAATAAATAAATAATTATTATTTACAAGTCTAATTTTGACTGTTGTCTCCTTTGTCACTCAAAATTAACATCTGTGCCCTGGCCGGTTTGGCTCAGTGGTTGGAGTGTCGGCCTGTGGACCAGAGAGTCCCAGGTTTGGTTCCTACTAGGGGCATGTACCCCCCCCCCCCAAAAAAAAAGACAAAATTAACATCTGTTATATACTGAGCTTTTCCACTTGGCAACTTCTCAGGATTTGGAGAGTTCCTTATAATTTTCTTGTTTGGCTTGCTTTATGTGGTAACTCCAACAGGAGCAAGAAGAACAGAGTCTGGAAAATTGATTAGTTTTGACAGGAAGGTATTGATTTAACACAGTGAGCAGAAGTGTTGATCTGCCTCAAACCCTTGAAATGTGGGCAAAAACCCTTCCTTTCCCACATCAGCTGCTTATTCGACCTGGTTTGCTCACACTTGTGCAGTTTAGAGATAAAACAGGACTGGAGTTTGGGGTATCACTGCTCCATGGAATTGAACTGAGAAACCTCGCAGGGTGGGGTTTCCCAGCTGGGTTCATGTTACTGCTTTCAACTTCCCTGGAGTTTTAATAGTCCTAGTTTCACTTGTATGGACAAAGACACTGAGTTTCAGAGGTTAAACTATATGCCCAAGGTCACCAGCTAGCAAGAGGAATGAAGACACAAGTTTATCTGGCAGCATAAATTACCCCCACTACCATGGATTGCTGAAATTTACATCCTTTTGTTCTACCTAGATCTGCTGCTTACATGTGCCCTCCCTGCTGGCCCCCAAATGCCTTCCTAGCTTGTGCAGGGATAGCTCTCCCAAGAGGCCTAGGTGTTAAAGACCACTTTTCTCCCATCCTGCTGTCATAATTAACATCTGTGCAGCTCCTTGCAGTTTACAGGTTATTTTGGCATATCCCTTTTGTTCTTATTTAAAATTCATAGCAACTTTGTGAGATAGGAAAAGCAAGAATTGTCTTCATTTCCTTTTGAGGAAAATAAGCTTAGAGAAGTTAAATGACTTACCCAAGAGGGGCTCTATTGGAATCACAGATATCAGTCCCCAGGCCCTATCAGCCACTAAGTGGAGCATTGAGATTCTCACCCTGGCTTTTAGACCCCAGACCCTATGTTTCTTGTCTTATAGCACCTGCCTTTGGTATAACGCCCCCCCAGAGTGTGCCAGTCACATACATGAAACTGTCATCTCAGCCACAGCTGGACACTAAATGGAAGTATAGGTCCGCAAATTTCCATGGGTTCATGGTGAGGGTGTCCTACCACTGCAGGAGTTGGTGAGACTCTGGTGATGAAAAGGTTTGGGGGAGCCCTGGCCGGTTTGGCTCAACGGTTGGAGCATCAGCCTGCAGTCCAGAGAGACCCGGGTTCGGTTCCTGCTAAGGGCACGTACATTGGTTGCAGTTTGTCCCCGGCCCTGGTTGGTCATGTGGGTGGCAGCCACTCGATGTGTCCCTTTCACGTCGATGTTTCTCTCTCTCTTCCTCTCTCTCCCTCCCACTCTATTGGAACAAAAAAAATGAAAAAAAATGTCCTTGGGTGAGGATAAAAAAAAAAAAGAAAAGAAAAGGTTTGGGGAATGTAGGAAAATGGTTTGAGCTCAGGGCCAGGAGCTTATTGGCAGCATTTCTGGGAAACTGGAGGCAGCACTGGGAAGGCCCAGAGCCTGGCTCTGAGGTTGGAGGAGGTTATATCTTGTTTATCTGGGAAGGGTGGAAGTGCTATCCACACTCGGCTTTGTCACCCACCACTTTCTTCCCTTCTCTGTGCAGAACATACCTGCGGCCTTCAGCAGTGACCATAGATGACTCCTTCTTAACAGAAACCAATACCCAGAAATGCAAGCTTTCTCAGAAACGGAAGACACTGGTTAGTGATGATGTCCTGTTGGAACCCAAATGTCAGACCCCAGATCTTATCTGCTTCCCTCTCTGCAATCCAAAACACCATCCACCTGAAACATGTCCCATCAATGGCTTCTCCCATCACGGGAGAGTAGCTTACAGAGGCCAGGGCCACCAGACTCTGGGGTGAGAATGTGTACATTTGCCACACCTCATCCCAGAATCCTCAGCAGAGAGATTCAGCCCATGACTATGGACACCCTTTACCTGCAACTCAGCATTCTGGAGGGGACCTCATTTCTTCATCCAGCCTGCCATGTGCCAGGCACTGTGCCAGGTGCAGAGATGGTCCCACCAGATCTGCCAGTGTTTTTCAAGGCTGTGACTCTGTCTTTATGACGCAAGTGCATGATAGGGTACTTCAGTGGTTGCCATATGTACTCCATAAATACTACAAGGAGGTGTGTGAAGGAGTAAAGGGATATTCCTCCATTGCACTGTGGGCTATGGGTTGGAATTAGAGACTCTTTACCAGCCTCGGGAAAGTTCCTTCATCCATTCCTGTTCTTTAAACTTTTTATATAAAAATGAATGCTGTCTTATTAAGTAATTTAGGGCTTTTGTTGATATGATCATAAGATTGTTATTTAATCAGTAAACAGCCATTGTTCATATCTCACACATGAAAAAAATACAGTTCAGCAAACTTATAATTCCAGCTCACAGTGGAGCACTGTGGACTGTGTGGTGGTTTTCCTCGTGTGAGTGTCATGTGTGAGGATTTGGGGACATATTTTGTAAGGTTGGGGACTCTTAATATGGGGACTCTGACTCCAAGAAGTAAAGGGGGATAGTGTAGACTCTTTGGGGACAAGTTCAGCTAAGGCCCCACAAGGCCCAGTGATTTGGGACGCCCACTCCCAGTTCCCCCTTCAGCTACCACCTACTCAGTGGACCTGGGGCCCCAGCTCTTTCGCTCCCTCTGTTCTGCACAGCGGCTGCTACGCTGTGTTTAACCACCAGAGGGCATTGATTCCTCCCACGTTCCCCACCCCTGGGCTGCCCTTCCCGTTTCCACTCCCTGGGAAAGGCAGAGAGCACAGAGAGCACTGGGAACCTGCCTTCCAGCTACCCCCTTATGGAGGCTTTCCCAGCTGTTAATAACCAGGCCAAGAAGCAGCATGTGCCCAGGCATCAAAGTAGTGTGGCCACATTTTCTTCTGGTAGAAATGGCAGAACATGAGTACTGTCCTCTGAAAATGAGAAAAACGTTTTTAACTCACTAGGGTTAGGTGTTTCTTTGAGAACTTCCCAGGTGTCTTCCAAGGATTACTTTGTACTTTTATGAGAATCACATCAATTTTGATAGCCTTTCAAAAAAACTTCTTCTGGGTTGATTTTTAAATTTGGCTTCTCTCAGTTTTCCAGAATGTTTATTTCTACTTTTGTTTTCTACTTTTACAAAATTTATTATTTACTATAATAAATTTTTTCCTTTCCAAGCAACCAGAGGCTTAAGGCTTTCTTTCTTTTATTATCCTCACCTAAGGAAATTTTTGCATTTATCTTCAGATAGAGTGGGAGGGAGAGAGGGAGGAAGAGAGAGAGAGAAACATTGATGTGAGAGAGACACATCGAGTGGTTGCCACCCACACAACCCCAACTGGGGCCGGGACAAACCTCAAATGGGGCTGGGACAAACCGCAACTGAGGTACTTGCCCTTAGGGGGAACTGACCCTGGGACTCTCTGGTCCACAGGCCAGCACTCTAACCGCTAAGTCAAGTCGGCCAGGGCAAGGCTTTCGTTCTTAATAGCAAAAGAACTTTAAGCAATTAAAATAGATACCTGTGAGTGCTTCTCTGATCATTTCCCCAAAAATTTTGAACTTTTTTTTTTTTATCCTCACTCGAGGACATTTTTCAATATTTTGTTCAGATAGAGTAGGAGGGGGAAAGAGAGAGAGAGAGAGAGAAACATCAATGTGAAAGGGACACATCGAGTGGTTGCCATTTTCACGACCCAACCAGGGCCAGGGACAAACTGCAACCGAGGCACGTGCCCTTAGTGGGAACCAAACCTGGGTCCCTCTGGACCGCAGACCAATGCTCCTTTTTTTTTTTTTTAATTTTTTTATCCTCACCCGAGGATATTTTTCCATTTTTTGTACAGATAGAGTGGGAGGGAGAGAGAGAGAGAAACATCGATGTGAAGGGACACATCGAGTGGCTGCCACCCACATGACCAACCAGGGCCGGGGACAAACTGCAACCGAAGTACGTGCCCTTAGCGGGAACCGAACCTGGGTCTCTCCGGACCGCAGGCCGACGCTCTAACAGCTGAGCCAAACTGGCCAGGGCTGCAGACCAATGCTCTAATCGCTGAGCCAAACCGGCCAGGGCTGAACATATAATTTTAACATTTCTATAACATTTTCGGAGCCATATATGTAGATTTTTTTCTTTTTTCTTTTCTTTTTATTTATTTATGTATGTATGTATGTATGTATGTATTTATTTATTTATTTATTTATTTATTTATTTTTGATACAGATGTTTCTCCTTTTCCCCCCACTGATTCCCCCCTCCCCTTGTAGATTTTTTTTTCAATAAATATATTGGATTTTTTTTTGGAGATTTGCATGAATTTGAAAAAATTCAGATAAACCTTTGATTTCTTTTTATCTTGTAGTATGTGCCCCTAGCAGGAACTGAACCTGGGACCCTCTGGTCCACAGGCCGATGCTCAACCGCTGAGCCAAACTGGCCAGGGCAACTTTTGATTTCTTAACAATTCTTTTTTTTTTTTTTTAATCCTTACTTGAGGACATTTTTCCATTTTTTGTTCAGATAGAGCGGGAGGGAGAGAGAGGAAGAGAGAGAGAGAAACATCGACCTGAAAGGGACACATTGTGTGGCTGCCACCCGCACAACCCAACCAGGGCCGGGGACAAACTGCAACCGAGGTACTTGCCCTTAGCGGGAACCGTACCTGGGACTCTCTGGACCGCAGGCCAATGCTCTAACTGCTGAGCCAATCTGGCCAGGGCTCTTAACACTTCTTTTGTCTAGCTTACTTTATTGTAAAAATACAGTATATAATAGTTATCACATAAAATATGTGTTAATCACCCGGCTGGTGTGGCTCAGTGGTTGAGCTTCCACCCATGTACCAAGAGGTCGCTTACCGGTCAGGGCACATGCCCAGATTGTGGGCCAAAGCCCCAGTGGGGGGCATGCAGGAGATGGCCAATCCATGTTCTCTCTCATTAATGTTTCTCTCTCCCTCCCTCTCCCATCCTCTCTTTCTAAAATCAATAAAGAAAAAAATTTTTTTTTAAATATGTGTTAATCAACTGTTTATGTTATCAGTAAGGCTTCCAGTCAACAGTAGGCTATCAGTAGCTAAGTTTTGGGGGAGTCAAAAGCTATACATGGGTTTTTTACTGCGTTGGGGTTGGCATCCTTAACCCCCATGTTGTTCAAAGGTCAACGGTATATAGTTTCTGATTTTAAAATGTGTTAAGACCTTATCTGTGGCCTATGTTTAGATTTTTTGTATATGTTAAAAGATTGTTCTTTATTTCCATTTAATGCATGTCATAAATCTGTTCCTCTGTCATTATCAATTATAGTACTCTTAACATTAGTGTCTTATCTTTTTCTGTTTGATGTAGTTTATTCTGAAAGGAGGGCTTTAAATTCCTTACTCAATCATTTCATCTCCTTTTCCCCCCATTTTCATTTATTCAACAAATATGCATTGACTCCCATTATGTGCCAAGCACTAGGGATACAGTGGTAAACAAAACAGATATAGCTTCTATTTCTGAGAGAAGATGGGGATGTGATGATGAGGAAGTGTGGGCATCGGACCTGGGAAAAGTATCAAGGAGAATCCCTGAGATCTTAAGGATGAATAGTCAGTATAGCGCATTTTTGACCCAAGGAAAGCATATGTAAACATATACACCCAATGAGCAATATTTTTTTGTTATTGTTAATCCTCACCCAAGGATATTTTTCCATTGATTTTTAGATAGAATGTAAAGAAGGGAGGAAGAGGAAAAAAAAAAACACATTGATGTGAGAGAGAAACATTGATTGGTTGCCTCTCCCATGACTCCGACCGGGGCCAGAGATCAAACCTGCAAGACAGGCACATGCTCTTTACTTGGAACTGAACTCAAAACCCTTCAGTCTGTGCACTGACACTCTAGCCCTGAGCCAAAGTGGCCAGAGCCAGTTTTCTTTTATTTTTTCATTTTTTAAATATTTATTGTTGAATGTATTACAGATGTTCCTCATTTCCCCCCCATTGACCCCCTCCTCCCCACTCCTGCCTTTTCCCACACTGTTGTCTGTGTCCATTGGTTATGCATATATGCATATAAGTTCTTTGGTTTATTTCTTCCCACCCCCCCAAACCCCCCCCTTCCCTTTGAGGTTTGTCAGTCTAGCAACCAATTTGTACTTCTTAATCCCTTCACCTTTTTCACCCATTCCCCCAAAACCCCTCCCATCTGGCAACCAACAAAATGTTCTCTATATCTATGAGAATGTTTCTGTTCTGCCTGTTCATTTTGTTTGTAGATTCCATTGTCGATAGATATGTATTCATTGCCATTTTGTTTGTTCATATGTTTTATCTTTTTCTTCAAAAAGACCCTTCAACATTTCATATAATAATGGTTTGATGGTGACGAACTCCTTTAACTTTTTCTTGTCTGGGAAACCCTTTATATGTCCATCGATTCTAAATGACAGCTTTGCAGGATAGAGTACTCTTGGTTGTAGGTTCTTGCTTCTCATCACTCTGAATATTTCTTGCCACTCCCTTCTGGCCTGCAAAGTTTCTTTTGAGAAATCAGCTGACTGCCTTATGGGAACTCCCTTGTAGGTAACTAACTGCTTTTCTCTTGCTGCTTTTAAGATTCTCTCTTTGTCTTGAACCTTTTGCATTTTGATGATGATGTGTCTTGGTGTGGGCCTCCTGGGGTTCATCTTGTTTGGGACTCTCTGGGCTTTCTGGACTTGTATGTCTGTTTCCTTCACCAAGTTAGGAAAGTTTTCTGCCATTATTGTTTCAAACAGGTTTTCAATTTCTTGTTCTCGCTCTTCTCCTTCTGGCACCCCCAAGATGTGAATGTTGGCATGCTTGAAGTTGTCCCAGAGGCTCCTTACATTATCCTCATTTTTTTGGATTCTTTTTTCTTTTTGCTGTTCTGATTGGGCATTTTTTGCTTCCTTATATTCCAAATCGATGGTCTGCTTCTTGGATTCACGTACTCTACTACTGAATCTGTGTAAATTATTCTTTATTTCAGTTAATGCCTCCTTCATTTCTGACTGCATCCTTCATTTCTGACTGGTCCTTTTTTATACTTTTGAGGCCCTCACTAAGTTCATTGAGCATCCTTATAAGCAGTATTTTGAACTCAGCATCTGTTAGGTTGCTTATCTTCATTTTGCTTAGTTCTGTTCTTGGGGTTTTGTTCTGTTCTTTCATTTGGGACCTGTTTCTTTGTCTCCTCATTTTGGCTGCCTCTCTGTGTTTGTTTCTGTATATTACGTAATGAGAGGTATGGGGCTAGCTGAGACCTGATGCTGCTTGTTTGAAAGAATTTAGGAAAACCTGAAGCAGGATCCAAGACAATCCAATCCTATGGTTAAGCAACTGGCAACAGCTTGGGTGGGCCTGAAAGTTGGGTGGGGCCGGGCCTCAAGGAATCACCAGGGTGGGGCTACCTGTGTGAGCCAGGTTGCTGGAGTCCCAGATGTGGCTGCTTTCTGCCACCCCAGGGAAGGGCTCACCAAAGGAACAAAGGCCTCTGACAGCACGTTTGTCCAGGAGAAAGCCCCCTCTCCAGCCCTCACTCCAGTGCCTAACGGCTTAGTTCTTCCCTGTATGTCTCTGGTGCCCCTTGAGCTGCCTCCCCTCCAATCTTAGAGAGAGTGAATCCGATAAGTTCGTGCACGGGTAAGGAGCTGCCTGGGGCTCCAGCAGCGTCAGCCTCCCTGAGCCTCAGTTCCCGCTGGTTTTTCCAGCCAGAAATTATGGGGACTTCTCTTCCTGGCACTGGAACCCTGAGTGGGACGTCTGGTGTGGGACAGGGACCCTTCAGTACTCAGGGAGGACCTTCCTAGCTGTGGTATCCTCCTGATTTTTATCCACCACACGTGGGTGTGGGACCAGCCTATAGCGCCTCCGCCCCTCCTACCAGTCATGATGTGGCTGCTGCTTTAATTTCGTAGTTTGTAGGACTTCCATTCAGCTTGATTTCAGGCGGTGGGAGGATGCGATACCGTATTTACCTACACCGCCATGTTGACCGGAAGTCTATAAGCAGTATTTTGAACTCAGCGTCTGTTAGGTTACTTATCTCCATTTCGCTTAGCTCTTTTCCTGGAGATTTTTTCTGTTCTTTCATTTGGGATCTGTTTCTTTGTCTCCTCATTTTGGCTTCCTCCCTGTGTTTGTTTCTGTGTATTATTTAACGGGAGGTATGGGGCTATCTGAGACCAGATGCTGCTTGTTTGAAAGAATTTAGGAAAACCTGAAGCAGGATCCAAGACAATCCAATCCTATGGTTAAGCAACTGGCAACAGCTTGGGTGGGCCTGAAAGTTGGGTGGGGCCGGGCCTCAAGGAATCACCAGGGTGGGGCTACCAGTGTGAGCCAGGTTGCTGGAGTCCCAGATGTGGCTGCTTTCTGCCACCCCAGGGAAGGGCTCACCAAAGGAACAAAGGCCTCTGACAGCACGTTTGTCCAGGAGAAAGCCCCCTCTCTAGCCCTTGTTCCAATGCTAAACAGCTTAGTTCTTCCCTGTATGTCTCTGGCACCCCTCAAGCTGCCTCCCCTCCAAGTTTAGAGGGAATGAGTCTGATAAGTCCGTTTGCCGGCCCTTTAAGAGGAGCTGCCTTGGGCTCCAGCCACCTCAGCCTCCCTGAGCCTCAGTTCCTGCTGGTTTTTCCAGCCAGAAGTTATTGGGATTCTTTTGCTGGCACTGGAACCCTGAGTAGGACGCCTGGTGTGGGACTGGGACCCCTCAGTCCTCAGGGAGGACCTTCCCAGCCGAGGTGTCCTCCTGAATTTTATTCGCCACACGTGGGTGTGGGACCAGCCTCTGCCCCTCTTACCAGTCTTAATGTTGCTGCTGCTTTAATTCCGTAGTTGTAGGACTTCCATTCAGTTAGATTTCAGGCGGTTTTGAATAATGGTTGTTCTGTAGTTTAGTTGTAACTTTAATGTGGTTGTGGGAGGACGTGATACCGCATTTCCCAGTTTTCTTTTAAATTTGAAAGTAATTTATGTACATTGTAGAAAAATTTGAAAAATGTAGTTATAGGCAAATAAGGACCCATGGGCCTATCATTAGAGAAAAATAATTGTTGATAACCTTTTGGATTATTTCCTCTATCTTTTCTGGTCTTTCATTTTACCTGTTTTTCCCCTAATTTCAGGCCTTAACCTTTAGAGGTATAGCATTAATATATTTCCATATTTCTTTGTAAACATTTCATGGCTACATAACAATTTTCTATTTTTAGGCACTTAGAGTTTTCTAATTTTGTCATAGTTATAGGAAGGCTTTGAGGACTGCCCTTGTGCATAAGGTTGCTGCTTCATCTCTGTCCCCCTCTGCACTGGCTGCCTCAGACTCACCCAGCCTGCTTCAAACTCCTGATGTTTCCCTGAGGTGCTGGTGCTACCCAGGCACGTTTTGTGTCCCCACATCTCCCCAACACACACACACATACACCCTCTCCCAGAGTAACCTCAGCTCCTCCCATGCATTCATTCAAGCTTTATTGAATATTACTGACATTATCACCTCTTCCTTGAAAATGGCTAGCCACCCCTGGTCCCCTGAATTGGCTTCAGTCACTAACTGCTGACTTGTGATAATCAATTCACTTATCACCCTAGTCTAATCATATAATCATATGCTCATTTTTCCTCATGTTCCTGGAACCCAGCAGGGGCTGGCATGTACTATGGACACAGAAATGTTTGATGAACAAATGGATGACTGGCTGAACTCTAGAAGTGGGCTTCACTGGGTCAGAGGTCATTTTTTTCCTCCTGTGTTTTAAGTATTTCATGAAAAGGTTAAAAAAACAAGCCAGTATATACCACTGCTTCCAACCCTTACCCCTGCTTAAAGTTCAAAATGAGATCCCACTCCTTCAGGGCACTCTTACCAACTTCCCTGTCTCTTTCACCAGGGGGTATAGCCCAGTTTCCTCCTAGGGTCCACAGTTCACCCTGTTGCCATCTCTGCAGACTTATTTGTGTCAGTCCAGGCCTGAGGCTGGGCCTGCCCTCCTCTATCTCTGTCTCTTTAGCTGGACTGTGTTATGGGGACACAGGCTGATCCTGACCAGTACTCACATCTGTTTTCATGGTGCAGGTATCCAATATTCACTGCCATACTTACAGAAGAGGATAGCTCACCTTTACTGAGTTCCTAGAAGGTGCCTGAGTCTGTGTAACCCACCCTTTATGTTTTCTCAATGTATCCTCATGTCAATACAGTGCAATGGGAACTACAGCCATCCCCATTTTACAGATGCAGAAATGGAGGCTCAGAGAAGTTAAGCCTGTGGTCACATAGCTAATAATGGAGATCTGGGAGTTAACCAAAGCCCCGTCTAATTCTACAGCCCACCATCATTATTATGAACTATATTAAGAGATGTTGGGGGAAGCCCTGGCCAGTTTGGCCTAGCGGTTGGAGCATCGGCCCGTGGACCCGAGAAACCCGGGTTCGGTTCTCTCTAAGGGCATGTACCTCGGTTGCGGTTTGTCCCTGGCCCTGGTTGAGGTTGTGTGGGTGTTGGCCACTCGATGTGTCTCTGTCGTGTCGATGTTTCTCTTTCTCTCTCTCTTCCTCCCTCTCTCTCTCGTGCTTTATCTGAAAATAAATGCAAAAAAATGTCCTCAGGTGAGGATAAAAAAAAAAAAGATGGGGGGGATCACAAGTGGAGGGAGAAGGATGGAGAGGAACAGCAGGAAGTGGAGCAATGTCGCCATGGTAACCCCACCTGTTCCTTCCTGCAGTCTTCTTGTCAGTCCTCCATGGGCGGCCACCTGTCCCCATGGCCCACATACACCAGTGGCCAGACCATTCTGCATAATCGGAAGCCCTGTTCAGATGAGTACTGGAAGAGAGCAGGGTAAGCAAGGGTCAGCTGGATGGTGGATGAGCTGGTATAGACCCCACATTGGACCCAGAGATAGCGCAGGGGTGTGTGCTGCCCCAGACTGAGGGTGCAAGGGCCTCTTGGGGTGCCCATTACAATAGCCCACCACCCTGTGCAGTACCTGGCAGCAGCATCCCCTAGGCACTACCAAGCCAAGGTATCTGGAGCAGCTAGAGAACTACCTACGCAAGGAGCTCCTTCTGCTGGACCTGAGCACGGATTCTGCCCAGGAGCTGAGGCTGCAGGTCAGAGCCACAGAATTACTGTAGGGAGGGTAGGGAGAGGGATGGGAGGAAACCTTATGCACTAGGACGGAGCACTTCAGACCTTTAGAAGAGACTAGCCTCTCCTAATTTTTTTGGGTTCCCTTTCCTGGTAAGAAAAACACGTTCTATGACAAAGCCAGTGAGAAAGCTGCTAGTATGGAACCAAAACTATCCTGAGGTTTGAATTTCACCTGAGTCAGGTGGACTGGGTGCTGTCTCCAGTCCCTTCAGTTGTGATTCCTAGTGCCCAGCCTGGGTCATTGGATATCAGTCAATGGATGGGGCCTTATACAAGAGATCACAGGCTGAAAGTACCTTCCCAACAAAGAACCAGAAGCTTGGAGAAGGCATACAGTTATGAAATGGTAGGGTTGGGGTTCAAACTCGGGGCTAATTTGGAAGCCTATACTTATTCCAGTATACCATGCTACCTCCAACACCTTCCTGTGGGTCCAAGTGGGACAAGAAACCACACCTCTACTTGTAAGGCAGAATGCAAGGCTAGAGCCTTTGAGTTTTTCCTGCTTCCACAGGGCTGTAAGATGGAGGTGGGTGGGTTCTGGTTGGGAGGACAACTGACGCACAGTGCATGGAGGCTGACTAGTTGCCTGTAGAGTCAGAGAGAGGGCTTGGGTACAGAGTAGGGGAAGTCCTGACCCAGGTCATCTGCCATGACTCAGAGACAGTACCAGGAGAGGCCTCTGGAGAGCAGTTGAGAGGAACAGAGCTGCCCCTCAGCTCCCTGGCACTATGAGAGACTCAGGTGGTGACTGGGGCATTTATTTGAATGTGGGTCACCTGGCAGCTTCAGGTTAGAATACTTCTAAGCCAAGTAAAGAAAAACTCAGGACCCACTGAGGGTGGCAGGTATAGGTCAGGAAATAACAAGTTCCCTTTTATTGCCAGCCTTACAGAGAGATCTTTGAATTCTTCATAGAGGACTTCAAAACATACAAGCCATTGCTATCCTCCATCAAGAATGCATATGAGGTGATGCTGGGTAAGACTACAGCCACCCTGCCTGGGCCCAAACCAGAAGAGGCAAAGAGGATCCTACTCTGACCTTCTGGGGCTCTGCAGCAGTGCTGGGGCAGCTACTGAGCCCTGAGGTCATCAAGCTCTGCTTAGCGTTTTTGCTTCCACTGTCCTAAGATAGGGCATCCCAGGGCACCTGACGACCTCCTATCCTTGGGAAGTGTGATGAGGCAGTATCTATAAGAAATAGAGCATCTTTTCCATTAAGATTGATCCTGGAAGGGACTAAGTGCCTCCGGGAAGTAAGAAGGCTCCTCCTACCAGGCTCAGGAGGTGCCAGGCATAGTGCAGCTGCAAGAATTAAGGTTGTAGGGGGAAAGGGCATAGGCAAGACCCCAGTTCTCATCTGGACTGTGCCTCTGTGTGTTTTTTATTTTTTTTTATCCTCACCCGAGGACATTTTATCATATTTTTTTCAGATAGAGTGGGAGGGAGAAAGAGAGAGAAACATTGACATGAAAGGGACACATCAAATGGTTGCCACCCATATGACCAACTAGGGCCGGGGACAAACTGCAACCGAGGTACGTGCCCTTACCGGGAACCGAACCCGGGTCTCTTTGGACCGCAGGCCAATGCTCTAACCGCTGAGCAAAACCGGCCAGGGCTGTGCCTCTGGTTTAAAAGCAAGTGTGGGAAGGCCTTAAACAGGGGCCATGCTTTGAATGAGGCATGAGTAGACTCCTAAAGTTTGCAAGGGATGTAGCCACTCATTATAATCTTAGGATTAGTGTCTCCTAGCTGTTCTCCATGGCCCCAAAGGGTCTCTCCCACCTGTCCTTGCTCAGCTCACCAGAGGGAGAAGATTCGGGCTCTGGAACCCCTGAAGGCCAAGCTTGTCACTGTGAATGAGGACTGCAATGAAAGGATCCTAGCCATGAGGGCTGAAGAGAGATCTGAAATCTCCATGCTGAAGAAAGAGAAGATGATTTTGCTAAAACTCATTGACAGAAAGAATGAGGAGAAGATCTCACTGCAGAGCGAGGTGAAAGGGAGCAGTATAGTGACCAACTTCCTCCTTGCCACGCCCACCCCAAGGGTGACCATAGGCCTTAGACACTGAGGGTGACTACCTAACTCCCTCCACCCTTCTGCCTGGAATGATATACTGAGCCACCACCTCCCCAGAGCCCCTGCTACCTCCACACTTTGCCTTGGCTCAGCATTGGCTCAATGTGACCCCAAATGCCAGCAGAGTTCTGCTCCTTGACTGCCAGACTTTCTCCACAGGAGGATACATTGGCACTTTGCTGATTCTCAGGAATGGCCAATCTCCCTCTTCCTCTAGCTTTCTTGTTCCCAGATGTTTTGTTTTGTTAATACTCACCCAAAGATATTTTTCCATTGATTTTTCAGAGAGAGTGGGAAGGAAAGAAGGAGGGAGAGAGACACATCAATTGGTTGCCTCCCGCACGACCCCTTGTGGGGTCAGGGATCAAACCTGCAACCCAGATACGTGCGCTTGACCAAGAATTGAACCCACAACACTTCAATCCATGGGCGGATGCTCTAACTGCTTAGCCAAACTGGCCAGGGTATCTTGTTCCCAGGTCTTGATGGGGCCATGCAGCACATATCCCACCCCCTGTGGTGATTTAACCCTTGACCATGCAACCACCTTCCCAACAGGTGACCAAACTAAGGAAGAACTTGGCTGAGGAGTACCTGCGCTACCTGACTGAACGAGATGCCCGCAAGATCCTCATCGCAGACTTGAATGAGCTACGGTACCAGCGGGAAGACATGTCACTAGCCCAGTCCCCAGGTAAGCCCAGTCCCCAGGTAAGTCCCCAGGTTTCACTTCCCTGAGGAGGTGCTGGAGAGGAGTTGCTCTCATTACTCATTCCCATTCATTCAACTTTTCTAATATCTGCTCATTTTGTGTTCATTCATGATGGGAGATGTTCCTGCTGCCTCCTGGGTCTGTGGGTCTTCTGAACTGGACTGAGAATCATAGACTCATTGTTTAAGTAGAAAACAATTTCTGACAGCTGAGGAAGCCTAGACTCCCTAAAGACAGGACAGACCTGGTACCCCTTGTCCTGAGCTCTTCAATTTAAGTCCCCAGCCATAGGCTGTTAGCACTATGGAAAAGACCCAGGGGTTCCCAAGGAGAGAGAGCAGAAGGACCTGGGATACACGCTGAGGGACACTCGAATGCTGCCCTGGGTTACAGGCCCCAGAGCCAGGGTGATTCGAGCTGTTAGGGCCCCTGGCAGGTATCTGGGGGGAGGACCCCGTGAAGTTAACACTGGCTCTGAAGATGACCCGGCAAGACCTGGCCCGCACGCAGATGGAACTCAACACCATGAAGGCCAACTTTGGAGACGTGGTGCCCAGGAGGGACTTTGAAATGCAGGAGAAGACCAACAAAGATCTGCAGGAGCAGGTGCTGGTGGGCAGGCAGGCCAGGCAGGTAGGGCAGGGTCATATAGGTGGATAGCAAGGATCAATCAACTTGCCCACAGCTGGAAAGCCTGAGAGACGACTATGAAGAGGTCCGCAAAGAGCATGAGATACTGCTGCAGTTGCACATGAGCACGCTGAAGGAGCGGGACCAGTTTCATTCTGAGCTGCAGGAGATTCAGCGCACCTCCACACCACGGCCTGACTGGACCAAGTGCGAAGGTAATGATAGCCTTTGAAGGTAAACTGTGGCCCCAAGAACTGCTCAAGTGCATGGTCCAGACTCCAGCTCCCTCTCTCTACCTGCAGATGTGGTGGCTGGGGGCCCAGATCGCTGGCACATGCTGGCCAAGGGCAAGAACAGTGATCAGTTGGTGGATGTGCTCCTAGAGGAGATTGGCGAGGGGCTGCTTCGGGAGAAAGACTTCTTCCCTGGTCTGGTAGGGGAGTCCCTGGGCTCGAGAGACTTGTGGCCAGAGTCAGAATGGCCAGGCTTTGCTTCTAAGACTTGAGGTTCTGGGGGAACCCCCTGGGGCTCTGCTGTGCTTGAGGGTGGGGCCACAGGTGAGCTCAATGATGAACTGACATTCTCCCTTCCAGGGATATGAGGAATCCATCCCCTCTTTCCTTCGGTTTGATGGAGTTGTAGAGAACAAGAAGCCCTCCAAGAAGGATGTGGTAAACCTCCTCAAGGATGCTTGGAAGGAACGTCTTGCTGAGGAGCAGGTCAGATCTCACCAGCCATCTGGCCAGGTGTGGCCTCCAGAGTTATTGGGGTGAGGGGTGGATTTCCCTCGAGGTGCTAGAAAGCAGGGTGGAGGGCATCCAACCGTGGGATGGCTAACAAAGCAGTCTTCCCACACACTGCAGAAAGAGAAGTTCCCAGATTTCTTCTTCAATTTCTTGGAGCGTCACTTTGGGCCTGCTGATGCCATGGCCTGGGCTTACACCATTTTTGAATATATTAAGCTCTTCCACTCCAATGAGATCATGAGTCAGTTCTATGCAATACTGATGGAAAAGGTGAGCTTGGTTCTGGTTCTCCACCCTTTGACCCTAGCATAGGCCAGCTCTGTCTCTACGTCTCCAAGAAGCAGCAAGTTAGTTAGTGCTTCCCTTCCTGCAGAGGAGCGAAAGTGTGTACATCAAGCAGAAGGAGACAGTAACACAGCTGCTGAAGGAGATGACAAATGTTGACAGTCAGAATGAAGGGCTACTAACCATGGAGCAGTTAAGGTGAGAGGCTGGCCAGGCCACCTCAAACTCCTGCCCGACATCATCTCTGGCCAGGTTCCTAGATGTGCAGGGCAAAGGGAATCCTGGTGGGAAGGGCCACACCCTCAGTGCTGGCTACTCTTGAGCACTAGCGAGGCTGGCAAAAGTGTGCAGTGAGATGAGTAGGCAGGCCCCAGCCAAACCCTTGTCTCCCCACAGCACTGTCCTGAAGAGCACCTTCCCCATCAAGAAGGAAGAGAAAATTCAGGAGCTGATGGAGGCAGGAGGCTGGCATTCCAACAGCAGCAATGCAGACTTTCTTAACTACCACTCATTGTTTATGGAGGTGAGGGGGAGGTGTCCAGAAACTTGCCCAGCCCTACCCTAGACTCTGCTAGACCCTAGCCTGTGTGCCATCACCATGTCTTATGCCTCTCCCAGGATGAAGAGGGCCACAGTATGCCCTTTGTGCAAAAGCTGTGGGAACAGTACATGGATGAAAAGGATGAGTACTTACAAGAGCTAAAGCAGGAGCTGGGCCTGGAACTGTGAGTGACCTTGGGGCCCTCAGGCCCATTTAGCCATAGGCGAGTCCCACAGGCTGGGCCACAGGGTGGCATCTCAAACCCCTGGGTCTTCCTATATACTGAGCTTGATATTGGGCATTATATATTGCTCAAGCCCAGCAAAAGACATCTTGAGGTCTGGGGTGAGAGAGGAGGTTGTCAAGGCTTATCTCTCTTTTCTTGTGGGGCAGCCATGATGAAGTAACCCTACCCAAGGTGCGTGAGACCCTGATGATCATTGATCCAAGCCTGGACAAGCAGACCCTGAACAGCTATTTGAGCCAGGCCTTCCAGCTCCCTGTGACAGAACTGCCAGAGGAGAGTGAGGAGAAGGAAGAGGACATTGTTATACAGCTCCAGACTGTCCTGGAACGGCTTCAGATAGTTGACATCAGGCGTAGGGGTCCTCGGGAGCAGGAGCCTACAAGCTAGGGCCACTGTGGGCAGCTAACCTCTGACTTTTAGTATAAAACTGTTTGTCTGAACCCATGCTACTCTCCAGGTTATATTGGGGAGTCAAGGGGAGGGGGCTGGATGACCCCAGGATATGTATCAAAACACAGAATATTCTGTTTGTGACACTTTATTGATGTTGGGGCATGGTGAGGAAACCTGAAAGAGTATGTAGGACCAAGGGTCCCCCAGTGGGGACAGGGCAGGTGTCGAAGTCTGACCACTACTGGGCAGGGAAGACAGCATTGCCACTGAATGCACAAGGGATGAGGAGCTTCCGGTACTCCAGGGGCAGGTGCCGTTCCACAAGTACGTGCAGGGAGACTTGGTCAGTGACCAGGCCCTGCCTGCAGCAGAAGAGGATAAAAATAGATAGAATCAGCATCAGCATTCCCCACACACACCCTCCCTGCTGCTGCCCACTTACCGTCGCATCAGCAGCTCCAGATCCTCTAGCTTCACAGTCTTGCGGCTAGCGTGAGCAGCAAATACATCCAGGTCATCACAAAGACGCTGGAAATACTTGTCCAGGCTGCCAAGAAGTTTGGGGTAGATTAGACTGAATACACTGTTCAAAATGTGAGGGGCTCCTCTCCCCACCTGAGGGTCCAAGACTCACCACTTCTCCACCATCTCAAGAGCCTTCTTCTCCATGGGCATTTTAGCATAGAATCTGAAGAGCTTAGCATAGTGGCTCAGTCCGGTCTTGTAGGGGTCTTGACGGAGTCTAGAGCCAGCAGTTTGGACCCTGGAAGGAAGCCTGGCTGATAGAGGCTCCAGAGGCTCTGAAGATAAGCTGGGAGCAGGAATGAACTGCTGCCTGAAGAGGCCCCTAATCAGAGATAAATCTTGCTGGCTCCTGCCAAGACTGGGACCTTGTGCTCTTTGGCCAGCCTGGACCAACAGCCCCAACCACCTGCTGGGGGGGACTAGGGACAAGGGGCCACATAGAGGCCTAGTCTTTCCTTGGGGCCCTGATCCTCCAGTCTGGACCCAATGTCCCTGTCTAGCCCCATCATAAAAACTGGTACTTGCTCAGGCTCATGACCCTTAGGCTTTAGCATGGACACTTCATCCTCTCAGCCCATTGCTGCCCGTCTGATTCTGCTAATACTTCCAGGAAACCTTCTCTGACTACATACTGATCTAGCCACTTCCCCCTATCCAGGCTCCTCTAAGTCCCTGGAAGCAGGCATCAGGATGACAGATGTGCTCTCAGAGAGCCCCACCCAGCCCACCTAAGGGTTCTCTCCTGCATACCCACTGGAAGAGGGATAACCCTGTGATACCCAATGCCAGCCACAGTGCCTGCCCCTTCCCAAGAGGCAATGTAGAACAGGGTCATGGGATCTTACACTGCAGTGTTAGTTGGTGGGGCTAGCTCAAGGAACTCAAGTTGCCTGGCTTGAAGAAACTCCGGGGTGTTGGAGGCCAACTCTGGACTTGCTGCAGAGAAAGGGCAGGGTTACAAGGGGCTCAGGCCTAACCATCTCACACAACGCTGAAGGCCTATAGCCTCGTCCTGTTTATGGAGGGCCCCATCTAGCTCCAGCCAGCCAAGCAAGGGGCACCTCAGTCTCCCTGGCCCAACACTACCTGTGCTCAGAAATACAACCCAGATAAGGTCCTCCTCAAAGGCCAGGGATGGAACACAACTGTCGCTTACTTACTCACCCCTGATCCCTGCACTGGGCCCCTTACCTGTCCTATCTGCGGGGTCCTTATCCCCTGAAGATCCTTCTGGCTCCGCCTCCTTGGCTTCAGTATCTCCGGAGGATCCCTCTGTTTCTATCACGTCTGTGTGTGTCTCAGGCTCTTCTGCTCTGGCAGATCCTTGTGCCCCTGCTGCCTCCTTCATTTCACTCATGCTCAAGCTTTCTTCCATTATTTTCTCTGCCTCCTCACCAATTCCATCCTGTAAGGGCTCTAGTTCATCTTCTCCAGAGATACTATTGCTGGTGTTTGGGAAGCCCATAGCAAGGGCATTAACCTCCTCTGCCTTTCCTACCAGAAGTTGGGCTGGTTTCCCAGGACCTGAATCAATGGAAGAGAATACAGGCTAGAGAAGCAGTAGGCCAAGGCTATAGCTCTGAAAAGGGTAAAGATGGAGTAAAATGCAGCCTAGCCCATCAAGGATACAGCCCTGGCCAGTTTGGCTCAGTGGTTGGAGCGTTGGCCTGTGGACCAGAGAGTCCTGGGTTCGGTTTCCACAAGGGGCACGTACCAAAAAAATAAAAGGATACAAGGCCAGAGGCAGACCCAGGGTACTGGTTTGGAGTCTCCTGGCCTAACACTGACGCTACACTTAGATGGAGGAGAGACTAACAGGTATGGGACTCTGAGGGGCACACCTATATATGGACTTGAAGAGGGAAAACCACCAGTGCCAATTCTTGCCCAAGCTTGGCTTGACGCCAGGCCACCTGCCCCACATACTCACTGTTGTTCTGCAGCCCAGGCCCACTGCTCCGTGTCCTGCGACTAACATTTCTCTCAGCAGAGAGAGAGGGATAGGGCGGGGAGTGGTACACACTGGGGGAACGACCAAGCAAAGGCTGGGAGAAAGGCTGGGTGTCCTCCAACAAGGTGTCTGTTGGCAGGGTAGCAACAGGAGTTCTATCACCTGGAAATGAAGGGCCAGATGGCACTCAGTGTATTCCAGTCCCACCTGCTGCTACCTAGTCACCATGATGTGGCCATAATGGAGCCCCATAAGTCTACCCCAAGTATCCCTCACAGAGAGAAGACTACATAGCATTCTAAACTTCATCTCCCTAACACAGATCACCTTGCCTACCTTCCTGCTCCTTATCCTGGCATTCCCAGGCTCTATTGCTTGCCCTGCCCAAACTGCTCATCCATGCCTCCACTTTCTACTTCTCACCCTGCTCCCTCTGCCTAGAACCTTCCTCTTACCCTGGTGAATTTGTCTTCTGGAATCAGGTTTCCAGGTCAGCTTGAATGGCCGGCTACTCCTGAAACTTGGCCCCTTTCAACCTCCCAAGCTCAGCCATCCCTTTCCTACCCTCAACCTTGTAGCTCTTCAAGGATATGGGGTCCTGGAAGACCCTGAGGGACTAAGACTAGGTCCCACCAAGACAAAATAACCTTATGGAAAGCAAGCAGAAACTCCTTATAGACCTGCTGGCCAGGCTTGCTCACTGTCCTTGACCCAATGAAGAGGAGAGCAACCCTGGACTCAGTAGCACCTCCTATCTGTCACGAGGAGAGAGCTTTCCCCACAGGCTGGAAGAGGAAAATCTCAACCTTACCTGGAAGAGCCAAGGCCACAGAATTATCTTGTAGCTCCTTTAAAAATGCACCCACATCTACAGCCCGGTGTGTAGGAGGTCTTCGGGCCAACCCAGGTCTTTGCACTGATTGTGGCAGGAGAGGTGTGACAAAGGTCAGGTTGAGGGAGCTGGTGGGAGAGAGGTGGTAAAAAGGAAAGTCAGCTACCTGAGGCCTAGTCCCCCACCCGATTTCTCCATCTGCCCTGGTGCTCACAGCTACCATGCTGTGAGGCTAAAATTGGCAGGAAGCAGTATAGCCAGAATCCATTCTAGCCAGCACCATTTCCCCTAAGCCTCTCCTCCACCAACCCCCAGAATAGGCAATAGCACCTGATGAGGGCGGAGGAAACAGCATTCCCTTGAGGCTCTGTAAGAGGACCTAAAAAGAAGAAACCGTAAGTTACCCAGGCTCATGATAGCGCTCTCCCAGGCCTCCTAAGCCTCTAAAGGACAGGAGAGAGAGGGTGGCCATAAATGTTGTTCAGGGCTTCACCTTGAGAGAGAGAAAGCCCCTGGTCCATTCCTTGTTGAAACACTGACAATTTCAGCCTCTTCTTCCTCTTGCCAGAAGGTAGCAGACTTGCAGCCAGGGTTGTGGGGGGTTTGAGCTCAGGAAGTTGCAGCTCCAGGCTATAAGAATGGAGCTAATCTCAGAGAGGCCAGAAAGCCCAAATATGGCCTTTAGAAACCCCCAAGAGGCTTTCCAATAGCCCAGCCCCAAAGTAGGGAGTTCACTGTTGCACCTGCTGGGACTGCTTTCCTGGCTAGAGAACTGGACCACCTGCGATGCTGACACTGGCTTCACCATTGGCTGTGGCATGACCATGGAAGATTCCGGGGCTGAAGAAATAACAAGAAGAGGGTGGAGCTAGCAGGGCAAGCTGCCCTGAATAAGGGATACCATAAGACTGGTGCCTAACTCTGACCAGTAGACCAATGCTCACTTACCAGTTAGTAGGATATTCTCAAGCAGAGTTCGGGGTGTCTGTTCCTTCAGATGTCCACTGGTTTGAATGTGGGCCAATCTGCCAATAGACTTTGTGCAAAAGCACTAAGCAAACAGTCTATTCCTTTGCCTTGAGATTCCCTCAAGGTGGGCTCCAGAGCAGAGCTAGACCTCAGGGGCCCCTGAAGGCAGCCAGAGCCCTATAGTGGTCAGTGGGTTGGGCACTTACCTTGGTTCTATGGGCATGTCTCCTGGCAGTTGTCTTTGTTTGGCTCCTCAACCTCATAGAGAAAGGTGTTTCAAGCAGGGTTTTCTGGGCACTGTATAAAGAAAGACCAGTGGCTCTGAGAATTACATAGTGAAGGGGAACCAGTGGATACAGAGATGTATCTTCACTGGGGATCTTAGCCTGAACTTCTTTCCTCAGGGCCAGGGACCCAGACACCACTTATCCTTCCCATAGTCCATTCCCAGATCTATGTCACTAGGATTGTGGATGAAAGGGAGCTCCAAGAGGTATGGAAGGGAGAGAATATAATGACCCAGTCAGAGAGGGGCTGAGGAAGGCTTCACAGAGGTGACGTTGGCAGAAGTAGGGGTTAGCCACAGAGACAAGAGGAGTGTCTGGAAAGGTATCCATTCCAGCCATTTAACAATCCAAGAAAGATATTTAAATATTTTTACACCTTTTAAGTACCTGTCAGGGTCTGACAGCAACCTCCACATGGTTCACTGTAGCCCCAGTCTCTCCAGTCCAATCCCTCTGATTCCTGAACCACATAAATGTTCGTTCCCAGGGCACAGCTCCCACCTCATCAACATAGGTATAAAACCTGTAATGAGCCCTGGCCCATTTGGCTCAGCGGTTGGAGCCTGCGGACCAGAGAGTCCTGGGTTCGGTTCCCACTAGGGGCATGTACCGAAAGAAGAAAAAAAAAAACCTGTAATGAATGGCTTTCCATTGCCTACAAATTTTTTTTTAAGCTCACCTGAAGACATTTTTGCATTTATCTTCAGATAGAGTGGGAGGGAGAGAGAAAAATATGATGAGAGAGACTGGCTGCCACCCACACGACCCCAACCAGTGCCGGGGACAAACTGCAAACAAGGTTCAAACTGCCCTTATTGGGAACCGAACCCAGGACACTCTGGTCCGCAGACCTGGCCGAAGCTCTAATCGCTGAGCCAAACCAGCCAGGGCTCCATTGCCTATAAAAGAACTGCACTGCCCCAGTCTGGCAGAGGCCAACTACCACACCCTCTGCACCATAAGCTCACCAAAGCCTTCACCCGCTGACACTCCCACCAAATCTGGCCAAATTCCCGTTCCCTAGCAAAGAACTTTTCCAGTTCCTGCCTCCCGACTTCTGCCGAAGCTGTGTTATCCAACTCCTTTCCCATCTTCCAGTTTGGAGCTACGATGACAGGACTGAATGTGCAGGGAAAGGAGGAACCACCTGGGAGGTGGTTCAGGCCAGATGCCTCGACACACTCCGGGCTGGTTTGGGAGAAAGCGGCCTGGAGAACTGGACAGAAGGCCGGATTCTGAGCGCCTATCCGGAGGCGGACCACCTAAAACGCGGGCAGAGTTGAATTCTTGGCGGCCTGGAGTCCCGGGGGTGGGGGCACAAACAACTGACCCAAGCCAAGATAAGGCAGCAGAACCAGTTCTCAAAGCCTTGGCTCGGCAACTCTGAGACTCAGTTTCCTTTTCCAAACTGGGTCAGCGCTGGATCACACCAAACCCCACCCGCCCGTTCCTCCGGTTGCTGAAGTGCTTGGGCAGTGCCCTCAACATACCCAGTCCGAGTACTCTGGGGTCGCCGCGGGGTGCGCAGGACCTCTGTATCCAGCACGCGCCGCAGCAGCGTACGTGTCGTAGGCTCATTGTCGGGGATGTAGTTGTCCGCCATGGCCTCAGCGGTCCGCCTCCCAACTCCTAGGGTAGCCGCAGCTGCCGCCTTACCGCCGCCACATTTAAGCCTACTCTCGCGAGGCTGCCGCACAGCTCCACGGGAATTGCAGTTCTAGCACTACAGCCCAGTAGCGCCTGGCGTGTACAATGGTGGCTGTAAATTCTAAATTTGGAGGTAGTTTTTACCTGGGAGTGATCCTGGACAAATGTGTGCAACCAGTCGAAGCCTCGTTTCCTCATCTATAAGTTGAGGATGATACCCACTTAATAATGGGCTTGAAATTATTCAGTGAAATAATGTTTAACTCAGGATTTGACACGCAGTAAGTCAGGCCATCAATACATGGTAGTCAGTATTATTACAATATCTCTCACTCCCATCTCCCTCTCCGAAGGTGAGGAGAGACACTTAGGTTTGGAAAAAATAATCTCATCCTATATGTGATTCGGTAAAGATCATTGTCTGTAGGCTCGTTATCTGTCAAAAGAGACCAGTTTGCAGGCTCAGAGGATAGTGGTTTTGTTGGTGACCCATCAGAGATGTTATGATCTCCACCAAACATGTGCAATTTTGAAATGAAGTTCGGCTCTCAAAAGTTCTGTTAACATTGGAGATTCTGTATTTTTCACTGATTGACAGCGCCTTCCCCGCTTCTTAAATTTTCATGGGAACTGATGTAGACTTGAGTTCTGAGTCTCCCAAGTTGTTCTCCTTTTGCTCCTAGATTAGGTGTAAAGTATCAGTTACTCAGACAGGCATGGACATATTTGTGCTTGTGTGAAAAAATAAAGCAAAGAAAAAATCAGATTCTTCTCAAAATAAGAGAACTGCAAAAAGCATATCAATATTTCTTGTCAGTTATATCTGACCTGTGTTCTCTCACTGAATTTGCTAGCCCATTGCAGGTATGTTTCCATGGTCACCATGAATCACCTAAGGGCAATATTTACTTATTTCTTTCTATTTATTTACTTGTTTATTCATTTATTATAAAGCCTTGAACTGGATAACATGAAAAAAAACACAAAAATCTTTTCAAAACAGTTTGAGGCACAAACTTACTTTTGCATGGTACTTTTCTATGTATTTACATAATTGATTAAACTTCATATTTACTACTTATTTAAAAAGTCACTGGGCTTGCCCTGGCTGGTTTGGCTCAGTGGTTAGAGCGTCGCCCCATGGACCAGAGAGTCCTGGGTTCAGTTCCCGCTAAGGGCATGTACCTTGGTTGCAGTTTGTCCCCAGCCCCAGTTGAGGTCATGAGGGTGGCAACCACTCCATGTGTCTCTCTCATGTTGATGTTTCTCTCTTTCTTCTTTCCTCTCTCCCTCCCGCTCTGTGTAAAGATAAATGCAAAAATGTCCTTGGGTGATGATACAAAAATAAATAAATAAATAATAAAAAAATAAAAAACCACTGGGCTTATGAAGTAAGGGAAGAAAGAGTGAGAGATTGGCAAGGGCCAGACCATGTGAGGTCTCAAAGGCTCTGGAAAGGAGTTTTGACATTCTAAATGCAATAGGCCACTGGAGGGATTTAAGCAGATGTATTACCTAATCATATTTTCTTTGGCAGTCACATGAAGAACAGCAGTGTAGGGGAGGCAAGATTGGAAGTAGGGAGACATGTGACAGGGTCATGCCTTTCTCCAGAAGTGACAAGATAAAGGGTGGGCAGGACAATGGGGTGGGGAGAAAGGCATGCATTCCAGATATGTTTTGAGTACAGAAGATCAAGTGTAAATTAGAGGTTATTTTATGTACTAGAAGAAAGACTTTTTTTTTTTTGGTATGTGCCCCTAGCAGGAACCAAACCCGGGACTCTCTGGTCAACAGGCCAACGCTCCAACTGCTGAGCCAAATCCACCAGGGCTAGAAGACAGACTTTTCACGAGCATAATGTTCAATATTCTGTGCATAAGAAAATTATATCAATTTGCCCTCTGACAAATATTTTTGGAGCAAGGTAGGTATTGAGACAGGTAGGAGTAGAACCATATCAGTAACTGTAATGACAATGAAAATACATAACATACACAGTGAGCTTTTGCTGAATTTTATCTCTACTGTACACATTTTATAAACATTTAATCATAACAAACTATGTGTTCATATTTTTTACCATTGCATAAATGACTCACTCAAATGAATGTACATCTTTCATTATGGGCTACACATTCCAGAGAATGTATTTCTGAATTTGAAGGATTCAAGCTGTGGACATCAGCTGCATAGGCCAGGAGGGATGGGACATTCTCCTATAATTGGTCTGTGAAACACAATGTCCTGTATTTTTCTACAACATTTTAAGTATCGGTTCCCTTTATGATAAAGAACAACAAACTAAAACTAAAAATAATAATAAAGTTACCTTGGAATGTTGTTTTCTTTTGCAAGCTTTTTATTTATATATATATTTTTTTATCCTCACTCGAGGACATTTTTTCATTTTTTATTCAGATAGAGCAGGAGGGAGAGAGAGAGAGAAAAACATCAACGTGAAAGGAACACGTCCCGCACAACCAACCAGGGCCGGGGACAAACTGCAACGGAGGTACATGCCCTTAGCGGGAACCAAACCCGGGTCTCTCTTGACCACAGGTCGACGCTCTAACCGCTGAACCAAACCAGCCAGGGCTCTTTTGCAAGCATTTAAATGTCCAATTTATTTTGTTTTTATAGCCAACAATTATAAATAATACATACTAGGCTTCAATTTCACATCCGTGGGCTGTAATCAGGAGAGAAAAAAATGAGGAAGAGTCAGGAGAAAGGCGAAGAAGAGCAAGAAACAGGACAAAGGGGGAACTCAGCAAAGGAGGTCTATCTTGGAGGTAATTCCCCTGGAGGACAGCCTGGCCTCCCTGGTTTTCCACAGCTCTTCTTGCCCTTTAGGACATTTTCCCCATAGAAGTAGAGGGAGGAAGGAAGTTTCTTGTTACAATACAAATCCTATCCATCCTTTTCTTTAATATCCTTCAACAGCTCTCAGTCGCCTACAGAATAAAATCCCAAATCTTTTAATATGGCCCAATTTAGTATCTTTCAGAGGCTTCTGCTACCCTGGCTGCCACCTTCCAAACACTTTAAGAGCGCAGCTAGCTCTTTCCTGCCTAACGGGCTGGTTCCCGGGACAAGAACTAGCTACTCCTTCCCACCCAACCTTTCCCTCGTTTTTTTCTTCCTGGGCCTTTACTTCCCATTTTCTCCTCTGTCCAGTTCATTGTTGTAGAGCGTTTATTTCTGTGATTAGACATTCATTCGTGTGCGTTCACATCTATTATCCAAAAATCGGACCCTCATCCCTCCACGTAGTCGGGCCAGGTCTGTCTGGTTACTGCAAGGTTCCCAATTCCCGGCACACAGCTGACACCTATTGGTCACTGTGTTTCGGTCAATAAGTGAGTCAACGCAAGCAGCAGCGGAGCCGGGGGAGAATCCCCAATGAAGAGAAAAAGGATCCTAAGGCCTTCAGGGGTACTGAGGCCCGGGTTCCCCTACCCTACTCCCACAGGAACAACTCCGCCTTCGCCTTGGGCAAGCAGCACTACCTTGCCTGAATCCTGGTGAGTAGTAACTCGATCACTCCCTTAGGCGGCGCTCCAGGCCGCAGCCGCCAAGTTCAGCGCAAGGCATTGCGGGACTCGTAGTTTCCTTGGGCATGTGCCCAAGGCGCTTGCGCACCGGAGGAGCGCGCGCCGTCCGACCCCTGTCAGGATTTTGGGTCTTTGTAAAGAGAGGTCCAGGCGACAGCATTCAACCGAAATATGCCTCTTTAGTCCACCGGGATGAGCCAGGTCGGCGAAAGAATGTGCTCTGCGTGGGCTGTGGCGGTTCCCTGGAAAGCGGCCGGAATAAGCACGCCCGCCGCTCCGGAAGTGAGAGGCCTCTGGCGCGGTGCATTGTGGGGGGCGTAGTCCTCCTTCCCAGGCGGTCCTTCGCGGCGTCCCCCGGGCCGACTCCCGAGCGCAGGCGGGTGGCCTGGCGGGCGGCGCGGCGCGGGCCGACGGGAAACGTATTCTGGGCACGGGCGCCGGATCAGCCGGCCGCGCCGGACGGCAGCAGTGGGAAGCCACCCAAGGCCTCGCGCGGCGCCGCCCGTCGAGGGGCGGGCGGCGGCAGACGACCGGACCGTCGAAGGGTTCAAGGAGGCTGGTGGGCCGGGCCGCGCGGCGCAGCCATGCCTGGCTTTACGTGCTGCGTGCCGGGCTGCTACAACAACTCGCATCGGGACAAGGCGCTGCATTTCTACACGTTTCCCAAGGACGCTGAGCTACGGCGCCTCTGGCTCAAGAACGTGTCTCGTGCTGGCGTCAGTGGATGCTTCTCCACCTTCCAGCCCACCACGGGTCACCGTCTCTGCAGCGTCCACTTCCAGGGCGGACGCAAGACCTACACGGTGCGCGTCCCCACCATCTTCCCGCTGCGCGGCGTTAACGAGCGCAAAGTAGCACGCAGGCCCGCGGGGGCCGCAGCCGCCCGCCGCAGGCAGCAGCAGCAGCAGCAGCAGCAGCAGCAGCCGCCGCCGCCACCGCAGCCGCAGCCGCCGCCGCCGCCGCCGCCGCCGCCGTCAGCCTCCACTGCCCAGACCGCCCAGCTGCAGCCGAACCTGGTGTCTGCCTCTGCAGCTGTGCTCCTCACCCTTCAAGCCGCTGTAGACAGCAGCCAGGCTCCAGGATCCGTGCCGCCGGCGCCCTCTACTCCCACCGGAGAAGATGTGAAGCCCATCGATCTGACGGTGCAAGTGGAGTTCGCAGCCGCAGAGGGCGCAGCCGCCGCAGCCGCCGCTTCGGAGCTAGAGGCTGCTACCGCAGGGCTGGAGGCCGCTGAGTGCCCTATGGGCCCCCAGTTGGTGGTAGTGGGAGAAGAGGGCTTCCCTGATACTGGCTCTGACCACTCGTACTCCTTGTCGTCAGGCACCACGGAGGAGGAGCTCCTGCGCAAGCTGAATGAGCAGCGGGACATTCTGGCGCTGATGGAGGTGAAGATGAAGGAGATGAAGGGCAGTATTCGCCACCTGCGCCTCACCGAGGCCAAGCTCCGCGAAGAGCTTCGAGAGAAGGATCGGCTGCTGGCCATGTCTGTCATCCGCAAGAAGCACGGAATGTGAACAGATCCACCTGTGTCCTGTGGGACTCCCCGGCCCCTGCCAACCTGGGAGGCCTGCAGCCTGCCATTGCGAAGTCCCTTATACTCCTGGGGCACTGGTTGATTGTACTGAAGCATAGGGCAGCTGGACTGTTGCTGGTGACCTGGCACCCTCTTGTTTCCTCCTAAGTCTGGGACCTTGGACTCTGCACTGGTGACACCAGCAATTGATGACTTTGTGTGCCCCCTCTCCTCCCCAGTTAATATGGGTTCTGGTTAAGCAGAGGCTTAGGAACCACTGAACTTGTAACTTACCCCCAAGGGATGCAGGTGGGATGCCCAGGGACTATGGATTTGGGAAAACAACACCTTGAGGTTTGCCAGCAATCAGAGACAACTTTTCTGTGTGTGGTGATAAGGGAACCAAGTGACATCAGTTCTCCTTTTCATGCTTTTCTTTCCCAAGTGCAGCCTGTGATTCTGATGGGGACTGGCAGATCTGTGCCTCTGCCTGCTAGGACCTCCCTCCCCAGGAGGCCATCTACCAGGGGATCAAGGTGACATGTTCATGCAGATCCAGCTTGCCAGATCTTAGGTTTATCTTGTTATGTTT